AGCAGGACTGTTTCCCTTTTACTTGGAGAATTATTTCCCCTTTTTAGCAGAATATTTTAGGTTGTGATTCTCTTGTTTGGCTGAAATAGCGGTGTGTTTCTTTGAGTAGTTGAGTCATTGTCAATAAAACTTTATTGTTTTACACTTTACTGTGTTTTAGCCTTTTCTTTTCCTGGTTCCTGGTCCCTTAGCCCTTATTCGGGGGTGTAACACCCTTTTGCTGCCTATAGATTCATATAGAAAACCATTAAATGGCTTTTGCCTCTAGAAGAAGTGGGTTTTTAGGAAACCGGTATCCTGTTTTCTTTTTAAAAGTTTTGTTTCAGGCTCGCCAACTAGAGGTCACAATTGGGCCACAACGATTGACTAAATTTTCACACAACGTGACCAGTCTGCTGCTTTGCCTCTTCTCCGTTCAGAACTTTCTGTCATAGTAAATTTCCGTGTTTTGGTGAGTTGAATCTGAGCGAATAAACAGTGCGCCCTCGCAGAGGAGTGTATGGAGACGGAGGGAGGAGGAAGTAGAGGAGGGGAGAGCGTACGAGAAGGAGGGGAATGAGGCAGGAGCGAGTTGGTGGACAGGAGGAAAACATTAGCTCTCAATCCTTCACGTAGTTGGGATACTTTTCACTGTCGAAGAGGCAGGGAAGCCACAGCTCAGACTGCACCTCCACCAAGCCAGGACGCACGGTAAGTACCGCGTCGCTGCTCAAGTATTGCTGACCTTGTCTGGGAGTCAAGGAGACGCTGGAGGGTGGGGGAGTGTCGAGATGAAGTTGGGGGAAGAGATGGAGAAGAAAGGCGAGATAGTTGAACGGGAAGCTCCAGTGAACAGGCGAGAGCTGTCCCTCCACTGCCTTTCCTGCCTTTGCGCTCTCCAGGGAAAAGCAACCCGAAAAAGTAACGGAAAGATTTTGGTTTGAGAGGAAAGTTTGGCATTCTTGGGTGTCGAAAGGGAAAATATCGGCTTCGCTTTCTTTTCCCCTCCTCACTGCAGTAGCAGTCATCGTGAAAGCTTCCACAACAATGGGTTACTTCTGTGTTGTGTCGGTTTAGCAAAAAGCTGTTTCCGAAAATTGTTTCAGGGGGCAACTTTCTATCAGCGCGCTCCTCGTAAGAGTGTGTTTGTTGTTTTGTAGACGGCGTCTGAGCACGCAGCACTGCTCAGCTGTCAGATCCCGAGTTTAGTCCTCTTTGGTTTCAGAAAGAAACCACCTGGTATAATAAGAATAGTTTCTTGTTCTTGGGAACTGTAGTAACACTGATAATCTGAGAAGATATGGCTGTACATTGTGTGTCAGCACATTTTGCGGTTTTAGCACTGATGTCAGCGATGAGTAATTTCTTCATCATCTAGAGCGGGAGACTGCGAGGAAGTCATCCTGTGTTTACGTTGCAGAAGCATTACTTTTCTATTCCCAGCCAAACACTGAGGTGTTTAAAGTGTTAATTGTGACTTTGAGGAGGTGTATGTTCAAAACACAGAGGCGTAGCAAAAAAAGTAACTGGACATTAAGCCCTAAATTACCACCTGAATCTCCCAAATTCACCCAGAAACATCTCAACAACTGCAAGGCCAAATTAACAACATTTGGCTCAATGGATGGATTCCCCATTTAAAAAAAAAAAAAACAAAAAAGAACTTTTACAGCAGGCACATTAACATGTTGTTTACATTGTACCAGGACTGTTGTGTTGGTTTAGAAATAGACTGTTGGATTGTCTGGATTTCAGCCATCCTGTCTCAGTTTTTGAATGAAGATAAACTAAAGTGTTGTTTTAATTGATAGTGCATACAAGATAAAAACGAAAGCATTTAAACACTTTTCAACACTGAACAGTAAGACTGCCCGATGTTTTAGGGTGTAACCACTTACATGGAAAGGAAACTTAAAAAAAGCTTTGATCAGCACTCAGCATGAGGCAAGCTCGCTGCCTCTTTCTAAATTTGTTTGTATAAAACAGGCTGATTTCTCAGTTCAATGGTCGGTGTCGCCTTCATTTTGATTTCAAACCATAAATGGTGTAAAAGATGGATGTAGTTAGTGGGATGTTATCCACTGGTTTTTGACATCTTTGAAGGCTGCCATTGGTTACCCAAAAAATGTGGCAAGGAAGGACGGGCCTGACTGTCAAACTGCACGCTCATTGGCTAACAAATTGTGATTGACAAGCTGTTATCCAATGATCTGGTTTCATAGTATACCACAGCTAACACAGTAGTACAAAGATTTAAAAGTTGGACATATTATTATGGGGAGTATGGGGTGTCTGGACCCCATACTCCCTATACAACCATTGCAAGGCTTGGTCTGCATAGCCAGCAATAAGTCGGACTTGTTCCCGGTGGGTGATGGGCTCTGCCAGGACTGCCCTTTGTCACTGATTCTGTTCATAATTTTATGGGCAGAATTTCTGAGAAGTTTCTCCATCCAGGAGGGGCTCAGAGTTGAGCCGCTGCTCCTCCACATCGAAAGGAGCCAGTGGAGGTGGTTCGGGCATCTGATAAGGATGCCTCCTGGGCGCCTCCTAGGTGAGGTGTTACGGGCATCTCCTACTGAGAGGAGGCCGATTCAGGACACACTGGAGAGATTATATCGCTCTGCTGGCCTGGGAACGCCTTGGTGTTCCCCCGGACAAGCTGGAGGAGGTGGCTGGGGAGAGGGAGGTCTGGGCTTCTCTGCTCAGGCTGCTGCCCCCGCGACCCGGCCTCGGATAAGTGGAAGAAGATGGATGGATGGATATTATTATTGTTTTATACATTGTGGCCAAAAATGAGTGACAGAGCCCATAAACTTAACAGGAAAGTATTTATGGATTTCAAGACAGAAAGACGTTTTCTCATAGACTTTTTTTTGGGCTGGAAGTGTTTTTGCAACAACAGCTATCACCAGCTGCTGGCGTTCAGATAAAGAAACGGGTTTAAGTTCATCTGCATTGGCCTCAGTTATCTGACTCAATGTTCTGAACTAAGTATTTTAGTCAAAGTCATCTTGATGTTTTGAAAAGAGAGATGACGATCAGTCACAAGATGATCCCACTTTTAAAGCATATCAGGCTTTATTGTTTATTTCGCTCTCCATGAAACCACTAATCACAAACCAAACATCAGTTTGTATCAAATAAGACTTCATTGGGAAAGGATTTGTTAAGGTCATACACGTGGTGAGACTTAAGGTTAATTTCACATCTACTTCTGTATAATCAGGCCTATTTTGTAACCCCCGGGTTCATCCTCCGACTGGCCACTTAAAAACTGTCACAGATTCGAAATGTTTACTCTTTTCATACCGGTTGCCAAATCCATCTGTAGTGGCAGTTATATTGCAATTTACTTAAGTAACCAAGTTAAGTGCGTTTAGTTTATGTCCTAACTCTAGTCTTCTGTTGTGTAGGAAAAGTATACAGTTGAGCCATTTAGCCATTCGCAGTTTGAATGAGTGGGCGCAGGCTTTATTCAGTGTCTCTCTTCACTTACACAGATGTCACGAGACTACAACAATGCTTTATTTGCTCCATCTTTTTATTAGAGATGAAAAATAATCCAGAGGGCCACAGTGATCCCATTAATTCTGGTGCTAATAACAATTTTGACTCAAATGTGAAACAGGAAAGATGGCATGACTACGCGACTCTGTAGTTTAGCTAAATGCTGATGATAAAGAGATGTAATGTTGTTTGTCTGTTTTCAAATACACGGTGCTGACACGCTAATATTTGCAACTGTCTTGTGACATGCTCGACTTAAGATGACTCCCCTGCTGGTCCACTGTTCACGTGAACTGTTTTTACATATAAAACATATTGAAAAAACTATAAAAGGAACATGCAGAAGTTACGGTTTCATACTGTTTTATTTGTGTTATCCTTTGATACCCAACTTAGCAAAGTAGGCTTAACCATTCACTGCTGTGTGTAAACAAGGTTAAGTATTAGTCGATGCTTTCCTGTTGGTATCAATACATTTTTTTCATTATAATAAAGTGGAAAATAAACTCTCCATCTCTTTTCGTACTCCTGTATACGTGCACAAAATCACGGCTGCTGTGCTCTCTGTTCCCCCAAAACAAATGAGCAATTAGCGTTAATGTTGCGTGCAACGTTAAATTGCATCACATCCCCGCCATTACCACCTCACAGTCGCACGATTTAACAACTTTTATGAGAACATGTGAATATCAACAAAGACGATCTGAAGCTTTGGTGAGTTTTGTTAATATATGACGTTGGATAAAGTCTATATTTGACACAGTGACGAGAAAATGTTGTTGAAACATTTCACGAAATGTTTAGAAGTTGCTGAAAAAACTTCTGTCTGAGCCAAAGAAGTGTGTCTATAAACAGTCTGATGATGCTAGCAATCGGTGTCAAAACATAGTTAGTCAAGCTGGTCATGAACAGAAGTATGATTTAAAAAAAACCTTTACAAACTGATTCTGTGTGAAGAGAAAACTGAAGCTGTTTGGTTAATCAGAAAATGCTACGAGATGTGAAACTTGTGATTGAACGTCAGCTGCCCCGACTAAACTTTGACTGAGGTCACGTGAGGTCTCAGTAATGTCCAGCCTTACGCAAATGCATTTAGCATGCATGAAAATCCATTTTGTCACATGTTGAAGGTCTTTAATGTTAAAACACCTGAGTCTTTATGGTACAATGAGAATCTTATCAGGTTTAAAAGGTCAGTCATAATGTCAGTGTTTTATCATGTAAGAGGAGATGGGGAGTGGCTCGGTGGCCTGAGAGGTCAGGTGAATAATTCAGAGGTTAATTGTTTGGGTCTTTTGGTGCAGCTCTCGGGGCTCAAAGCACAGATACTGTATTGTGTCCTTATGTCATAACACTTTCCCATTCTTGCTTTGTTAATGTCTGTCACCAGTGGGTCTTTTTCAGGTCGCTGCTTACGCTTGCATTGTAAATGCACCTCTATCTAAATAACAAGCAAGAAATCTGTTCAGTTTTTTAAGGCTTTTAAAGGCATCGTTGTCTCAAGATGGAGGGATGTTGTTTAAAGGTTTTTTGTATTTTTAAAAAGGAAAAAATGTAAGTCAGAGAGATGTGATCGTTTTCAGTCATGAGAATGTGATCACGGATTCATGCAGAGCTACTGAGCAGAGTGATGTTAATCATTAACTGACAGGAACCTTGAACAAACCAACATATAACCCAGTTTGTTATTTGTTTATTCAACCTATTTCCCGGTTATACTGAATTTTCTCTTTTTTTTTTTTTTTGGTCCGTTGACCACATCGTGACTGACATTACGAGGAACAAAGAAATCAGATAAGTGGGAAATTAACAAACAATAGCCAGGAACCAACTCAGGCTGCACCGTACAAGTCTTTTGTACAACTGTTCCAGAATTAAAATACAGGGTTTTAATTCAGGTAAAAAAACAAAAAAAAAGTTACGTTTTTTTTGTGTAGCAACACTAACAAAGTTCTATATCCCATATTGAAATGACTTGTAAATAAAACTGTTAAGGTGCCATTTTCTAGTATTCGCTATGTTTAAAGTTGACGTTATTGTTATTATTTTCTCAGAATTTGCAGACACCAATATTTTCAGATAAGGTGTTTGTGGTTTGGTTGCAGGGAAACGGTGCAATAGCCACCACCCAAGACGTTGATCTTGGTTCAGCATCTTCTGGTTACTTTTTTTCTTTTCTTTAAAAAAAATTCAAATACAGC